GACATCTGTGACAGTCAGCTAATTGTCTGCAAATTCCCTCTGCAGCAGTCAGTCAGTGAGTGCAGGGTTTCCTAGCTGTGATACAGCAATTCTGTGCCCACCCTTCCTGCTTTCCCTTCTAAAGTCATGATCTATGTACAGAGGAACAACTGCTCTCTGCAGACCTAGCCACGAATTCACTGCCTTCTGAACAGTCTTCCTTCCTTCCTTTCTTTCCTTCCTTTCTCTGTTACTGTCTTATCACTATTCAAGATGATGAAGTCAGACACACTGATTTCTCCCTATCAAGAAGTTTCTTTCAAAACTAGCTTTTCATGGGGATTACTTTAAAGCATCCTAGGTGGAAATAGTGTAAGTGTTTTAGCTGTAATAGTTTAAGGATACATGAAAGGCAAGATTTATATAGAGAAGCAATAAAAAGTAGAGGATAAGAGCAAATGGGGAGTAAATGTTGAAAGTTTTAATAGCTCATTCTAGGTTTTTAAAAATTTTAAGTTTTCAAATAACTTAATGTTCATTTTTTCAGTTGTAGAAACCTTGTAATGTTCAGCTTACTCCCCAAATGTGAAATTTTGATTCACTTGGAACAAATATACTGTGTATAACCCAATTTCAGATGAGTTTTGTAAACTTCATCCGCAATTATATGCAGCACCGTTGTAGGGTATTTTATTTAAAAACAAACAAAACCCACCAAAAAAAAATCCCCCAAAATCCCTACTGCAAATATGTTCAGGTTCTGTTCTTTTTTAATAGAAAAGACTTTGTGCATGGATAACAAAGTCAGACTGATCTCACCGTGTAGTTCCTGCAGTCAGCTGGATGTTACTGCTGCAGTGATTTGCTGGCAGGGTTTGCAGCAGCACATACCAGAGCGAGGAGCAAGACCCCTGCTCCTGCATCTAAGCCATCAGATGCCATTGGCTTTCCTGCTAAGCCTGGCTGGGGAAATGCATTCAAGGACTGATCCCTAAGGAACATCTCTTAGACAGATACCAGAAACAGCCACTCACGCAGAATCAGTGAGGGTTTTGACAGACTGAGCAGATCTTGCTATACATGTTAACTTGTTACATTTGTCTAGGTTTTGCTTTGTATGTTTATCTTCCAGCTGACAGGAACCTAAAATGTGCTCTTTATAGACTGAAAATTAATGGTAGGTTACTGTAAGGTAAACTTACTTTAAGTACAGCACAAGTACTAAATAATATCTAGAAAAGACTTCTTTAAAATTTTCCTAATTTTTTAATGTTCGTAAATATGCTTGTGTGTTCCATATTGAATACTTTCAGTTGGGAAGGCATCTATAGGCACCCAGATGTCAGAGTGGCACAGCCATTGTGAGATATTTAAGGATGATTTAACTATTTTATTTGTCTACTCTGTAAATTTTGGCAGATACTTTTCATGTCAGGGATGAAATATGAAATGTTGCAACTAAGACACTTGGATTTTCTCTGCAAAGGAAGTCTCTGTCTTCTCCTCAGAGAATGATATACCCATTTCCCATTTTTGTTCTGTAAACCCATCTTTATTCAGTAACCAACTGTTACTATCTCTTTTAAATGGATAAGAAACTGAGGGTCATAAAAAATAATTTTGATTCACAAAAGAAATTCATAGGCTGAAAATCAAACCCATGACATGAGAGTGTTAGATCATTGACTTAATCACAGTCATCTTGTCTTTCAATACACTACATGATAAGCAAACTTACATACATATGTACCTATATGTGTAGATACAAAATCTATGGCAAAAATATTTAATGATCTAGAAACATGAGCATTTTTTTAATTGCTTATTGTAGAGTGTGTGACACTCATTAGCTAATCTGAGCAAAACAATTTCTGACAATTACTCTTTGAACATGGAATTTGGAGAGACACAAATCTAGCTATTTTAAAAATATTTTTTTTCTTACAGCAAATTTGTTTCTGTAGAAACGAGAGGTAAGTTAGAAAAATGAAGCACAATATCATTCTGAAGTAGGTTTTTAGCCAAAGAGAGGAATTACACACTTCCTGAGGGCCTGCAGTTTCGTACTGCAGATGTTCCAGCAATAAAAAATTATCTCCTCTCACTTCATTTCCTAGGAATAGCTCTTTCTGCTGGTTTTGAATGTCTATTTTGCTGTGTATTAATAGTGAATCTCAGCAGATGAGGTTTGCAGGTCAAGATAAAAAAAACTCCGAAACCTACAGGTAGACATAGCAGTACAGTGTGCCTGGAAATCATATCTTCAATAAAATACAAAGATTTCAGCTACAGCCTGAGGAACAGAGTACAGTGAACAACAGATACTGTATTTGATGAGCTAAGTCTGCATAATCCCATCACACTGCTGGATTCACTGCTGTTTTAATACAAGAAAAGTACCCATTGATTTCAAGGGGCTTTGGGTCAATCTGACAGAGTATTGAAAAAATAGAGATTTCTCATATACCTACAGTATATACTCCTATATTAACCTTACTAACAACCCTTCAGTGCTGCAGAGAGCTGCTGCAGAAGAGAGTACGGCCTAAACCTTAGCTTGTGTGTAAGGAAGGTAAAGATGGAATTGTTATAGGGCTGTCAGGATCCAGGTCTCTTTACACTAGCTGTATATAGATACCAAAGATAAATGATTCACAGGCCTTTGTTTAGATTTCCCCCAGCTTTATCCAAACCCTTTCTCTCAGGCTGGAGAGCTGCCACTGGGGGAAACACTGCTGTGGAGAGGATATTATCTAGCAAAAGAGCCCACTGGCAGGAAGCCCCTGAGAGAGGAATGAAAGGTATGGTATTGCCAGGAGGAGGAGGATATGGTAGAGCTGGAGCCACAAACTAAAATGAAAGTAAATTGGTTTTGTCTGGGCAGCTCCTAGAGCAAGAAAAAGGGCACATTTAACTGCTGGAAGCCCCACAGATTCCTCACAGGAGGATGCAAGGCAATCACAAATCTGGCTGACACTGGTTATATAGTGGAGCAAGCCAGCTGGCTGCCTGGGGTGAGAAATTCAGGCATAAGGTGGGAAGGAGGGACAGTAGGAAACTAGGGAACTCATTTCTGGCTTGGGAGACAAGTTGCATTTGGCTCCTGAGTTTTTCTGTAGCTTACTCAAGTTCATTGCTGCCAAGCAGTACCCAAGTTCACAGGCAAAGAAGTGGGGAGGGTGGGGAAGTTCTGAGAGCAAACTTGAACTGAAAATAGGGAAAAAAATCAATTGGAAAATGCTTTGAAATTATTGACTTGGGTTTGATTGCCACATGGGGGAGATCTAAGCCTAAACAGTCCTTTCAGAGCTGTGTCACAGGGGGAACTCCTTCAGCGAACGCAGGGTGAGGCTCCACACTGTCTTTGTGGCTGGCTGGACAGCAGAACGATTACATCAAATCAACCAGGTGACACATGAAGACCAGGTGACATTCCTGGAAAAAAAGCAATTAACAGCTGATGAAAAGCGGATCTCTTCCTACTTGTAACCTTTCTGACACACTTTTAACTTTCCCTCTAAATTGTGCATACTACCTGTGGGAAGCAAAAACATACAGCCCTGTGGGTTATATGATCAAAGCTTTCCATAATACTGTGGATTCTGTAAAAAATCCAGATGCTTCCTCAGGTGCAAAGTTGCACATAAATTCTGTAGGTCTTTTAAATGACAACAGATTAACATTGCTACAAACTTTGCTTAAGTAAAATTTGCTTTCACTGTAATGATTGTTTCTTTAAATATAGAAAGCCTAATTGCTATAAAACTTCTTAGATTGTACCATACCAAAGGAAACAAACTGGGCATCCATCAAAGCAATGTAGCCAGTTAAGATTAAAAAAAAACAGACTTGCAGACACCTTTATGTAAAATAGTGAAGTACCTTATGAAGCAGCTAGTAAGAGATTTTTAAGTACAGATCCCTGACAGTTGCAGAATAGAGTTGCTTTTTAAAGTCACACCAAATTGTGATGTGTATATCCCCAGTTCTGTATCTCCACCCACAAGATGATTTGTCCTTCATGGCTTCTCACACACAGCATGCAAGAAGAAATGTAGTCCTTGTAGTCTAGGATCAAGATTTAAGTCATATGAGCTTAAAGCCATTTTTGTGTCCCCCATAGCAGGAACCCAATATCTAAAGCTAATATCCAATGGTCTGTGCTTTTGAAACCCTGCCTTTGCCTTTAACCTTTACCTGTATCTGCAAGGACTAATGTATTGCCCAGAAAGTTATTTCTGTGGTATGTTTAGTCCAGGCACACTGAGTCCAGATATGTCAGAAAACTCAGGCTGACCTCTGATGTAGTGGAGCTGTGTACGTGTGCTTGAGCTGCCCTCCATACATATTTTCAAACCTTTTGAGGTCAACCCAGAGCATGTTTCACAGCTGAAGTTCATCCTGTCCAAAGTCACGTTAAATGTCCTAGCATCTGTTTTCTGGTTACAAGCAAGAGAAGCTGCAGGTGGGCTTTTTAAATGCCTTTATTAATATATATATATATATTTTTAGTATATGAGTTTTAAATGCTTATTTAAATGCATTTGATGATGTTTTTATATTACCCACAGCATGTTATACTTCACAGACATGTGATTTAGCTGTAATTAACTTCAGATTTGTCCACTACCTGTCAGACAGCTGTAGATGATAGTACCCCACAATGGCACCAGAAAAACTTAAACTGGGAGAAGTAATTGGCGTGTTTAAAAGCACAACAAAATCAGCTTTGGCTCTGTGATCAGAACCCAGCTTTCCCAAATCCCATGACATCAGTACTTAATATGCCTGGGCCATGGGAAGGCACCAGTTAGCTGTTGGTTATGGAAAGTTAGCTGTTGGTTATGGAAGACAGGGGGATTGATGGGAGCAAATCAACTTGAGAGACATTCCCGTTCCCATAAAAAGTCTATATCTCAGTGATATTTTGTTTGTTTGTTTGTTTACCCTTGTTTGTGGGTCTTCATGAGCTCAGGATAACTGGTGCTGTGTTTAATGACTCTCCTCTTATTTCTGCTTAGTTTTCAGGACTTTACTTGTTGTCATTCTTCACTATCCTTGTTGGGCTGGTGCTCTACTCCTCCACATCCACCTACGTAGCCCAGGATCCTCGAGTGTACAAGCAATTTCGAAACCCTTCAGGACCTGTTGTAGACCTGCCAGCCACTGGCCAGCTGGAACCGTCGGTAACATACACCAGCCTGGGGCAGGAGACAGAAGAGGAGCCTCACGTTAGAGTTGCTTAATCCCAGGGCTGTTGATCACCTACTGATGATTCAGTGGAGCTCGTATATCCATTATCTCTGTATTGTACATAGAGAAAGGTATTTACCAGGTGCAGTTACACTGGTAAGCTGCAAGGTAGCAAATAAGGAAAGCTCATAAAAATACAAATTAATTGTTCCAGGGTGCTCATTGCAAGGAGATGCCAGTCCCTCGTTTACAAAATGAGCAGCACGTTTGCAATACAAACTGCTTTATATGAATCAGTTAATTTCAAACTACCGGTGAAAGATATTCAATATATAAGCTGAAATTACAAAAAAGAATTCACAGAAGGGTGTTTTTGCACCCACTGAATGATATTATGCCTAAGCCACATCAGTTGTGGAAAACCCACCTTTTTAGAGCCAATACACCTGTGCAGTCACTGTTAATTTCTTTCTAAGATTTGTTTGTTTGCACAAAATAGATGAGTTACTTGTGGTAGCAAGACCCTGACATGTTTTTGCTAGCACCTTAGATTTGGTGAGGGAAAGACAAAGAATTCATCTGTGCTATCTGTCTAGTTGGCCTTTCTAGGTAATCTGTTCCATGCATCCAGAGAAGGGACAACTTACAATATCCATCTCTATTCTAGGAATAGGTATAAGGCGAGCATTTTAGCCTTTCTATATTTGCAGAAGTGAAGTACTCAAGAATTGACCTCTCTGTGATCCATTGGCAGATTTCCTAGTGGCTGAGGTTCTGCATCAGGTGACAGGGAGTTAGTTTCTCTCTAGTCGTGACTTAACACAAATTTCTTACTTTTTAAATTTTACTCTGTAAAAAGAAGAACACATTTTCTAGTTTGCTATGTATTGTACCTCTCCATGGTAAGATGACAAATCACATGGATCAGGACACTTTTAGATACTCAGCACATCAGGGGCACCTTCTGCTGTTCCAGTTTGCATAGTCTCCTGTGGTTCATTATTCTAACAATAGCTATTTAGAAATGCATCCGTTTTTCAGCAAGACCCACAAATTGTAAAAATCAGGAAGATTAAGCAAGGAATTCATGAGCAGAAAGACTGGACCATCTGCTGGTGTTGCTGCAGTAGCGCAAAGGCATTCATACCAGCAGGGTGCAGCCAATTATTTTTCATTAACCACAAAACCAGCAGAAGAATTCAGCAGTTTTCTTCCATTCCTGGGGACATGTGAAAATAGTAAGCGTGTGCTCCACAACTGTACTTCTCCTCCAGGGACCTTAACAGAATGGGGGAAAATCTTAGTCACCACTATGAAAAATCCATCTCTGCCAGTATATTTGCTCTTTTGAGAGCCCAATAAAAGGAAATCATTATTTCAACATCCATCATCTATTTTTAATTTAAAATTAAGGAAGGAGAGATGATCTTACATCTAGTAGACAGGAGAGTGATCCAGAAGAGTTTGGTTTTATTCACAGATCTGCCACATCTCTGCTTGACCCTCGACCATGACTTACCCTCTGTGTGGCCGATTTTCCCAATCTGTATATATGGGAAGAATGATATTTTACCTACCTCACAGGGGTGCTGTGGGACCAAGTTATATTAAAATGCTTCAGGATCTTCAGAAGGAAGGCAACGAAGAAGTGTACAATAGTGCTGTAAAAGTGTGTATACATTCATTGTATCTGAAAATGGAGTTTACAGCAGGGTTGATGAATATTTTGCTTGTGGGCGCAGAAAATGAATTTGGTTTGAATGTTATTCTGCTGAAGAAGCCTGTCTCAAGCGAAAATGAAGGGCTTCATTTTTGAAACATAAACCTATTTCTATTTAAAAGAGAAAAAAAAATCAATCTGTAGTCTGAAGATTAGAAAGGCCACACAGTTCAACCAAGCAGGATGAATTTCTGCTGAGGTAACAGTCATCTTTTATAGTCCTGTTCTGCTTTAATATAGAAGGGACTTCCCTGAAACAGACTGAGAGAGGTATCTATGCATAATATATATGAAGTGGCAAATGCCAAAATGCTATTGAACAGCAGAAGTGTATTGTTTCTTATCCTTGCTGTGGAGGAGGAGGAGAAGCAATTTCTGTCTCACTGTTTAAGCCGTCTGCCACAGCCCTGCTGCAGCTGAGGGAAGGATCAACAGTATGGCCAAATCATGCCCAAAACCAGCCCAAAAGCTTCTCTTAAGATAGCTTGGTTTTAAACTCATAACAAATGTAAGATTTTTTTTTTTCCCCTGCCTTCTGTTTATTTAATCTTTTTAGCACTCATGTTTTCAAGCTTTTTCTCTTAAACCATTGAGGATTTAAAAAAAAAAAAATTCCCACAGAGAAACAGAATCTGTATTCTGGGGATACTAAGGAAAGTTTAAATCCTACGGGATTCAAATAAAAAGAAAATTTAAACCTTACAAAGCAGATTACCTAATAATTCAGGGTAAGGTCTGTGAGGTGGAAGTCCAGGTGGGAAGCACACGGTCAGGTGAAGCCCTCATGCACAGGGGCTAGCAACCATCCTCTGGTCAAGCCCTGAGAAAGCTTTGACTTGAGGAGGGTTTTGTACATTCCCCAGGAGCGGGAGCTCTACCACAGCTCCCTCAGGTACCCAGAGGCACACTGGCGGGCACCTGTCATCTCAGTCTTTTTTGCTACCTTTTATACCAATTAAATACCTTTCTCTGAACATTAGTCCTCATGTTGTTCTGAGAACCTTGAGGATTGCGTGCGTGTGTGTTTCATGTTTACAGTTCCTTCCTTTTGCATAGTTGTTTTGGTTAATTTCATTATTAGTATTTATTTTTAAGCCAAATGTTTGTAGTCCTTCCACCTCCCTCTCCTCATTTTTCTGACACTGACTTGTAGATGTTTGTTAAGAGTCTTCTCAGAAACAGCTGGGCAGGAGGCATCTCCTGGCCAGGTCACTAGGCTGGGAGTTTCTACTTACAAGGGTTTGCAATTCAATGGGTGGCTGAGGGGTGACTTCTGAAGCAATTCTTATAGGCTGTCTTAAAAGGCTTTGTTGTATGGAAATAAATTATGAATGTTTTGGTGTACACTCTGCACCCGGCCACCATCCCCTGTGTTATTCACACAGGAGGAGTTTGATGTGCAAAGTGGGGCTGGCCCACTGTCTGTGTCTCCGGTTAAACAAGGTGGATACTTGGATTAGCACCAGGGTGCTAGTGCTGGATGGATCTCAAAGGAAAACAGCAGTATACCTTTACAAGTAACTGTGTTGACTGAAGAGCTGAGGTCTAGTAAAGGAAAACGTTACTTCTACCTGATTGTTTCCTGCAGTTGGAGAACTCAATGCACACCAGCAAAGGTTCAGCTGTCCAACCAGCAGCTACTCTCTGTGTTGTGTAGGACATCTCTAGCTCTGTATAGCTCCTTGCCTGGACATACTGAAACTCTATTATACTGCTGGCCCTGAGCAGCCCTTAGCAAGACTGATGTAGTTTTCTGCTACTGGATGACAACTGTCACTGGGAGACAAACCTTGTCTTCATTCCAGCTATAAAGTTTCAAAACACACAACGATAGACCAGGCAATTGAAAATTTTGCACCACTGTGTCATAAGAAGAAGTTTCAATGTATAGTGTAGAGATTGCTAACTTGTGCTATTAACATTTTGACAAGCGTGTAGTATCATTTTCTTTACTTTTTTTTTTTTTTTTTTTTTTTTAAAACCATCTAGTATTCCTGAGCTAGCTACAAATATAAATTTTACCCCATGGGTAGGATTATTGTTAAATGCCATAATAAAGCACACTAATCTTGACACCGCAGATGGAAATACGAACCAAAACCAAGCAAACAAAATCCCAGCCCCAAATCCTGCTTTGAAAAGCTGATCAAACCTTTCTCCATTTTGATATTTGCATGCACCTATATGGACTGGCTGTGGCAATGTAATGCCTGTATAATGTTTTCAAATAAAAAAGAATAAATGCTTTATGAAAGCGGGGTTGTTATTTTTCTTGCCTGTTTCCTTTCTGCTTTCTTACCTAAAACAGTTTTTCTGAAGTGTGAATCTTGACTGCAGGGCATAATTTTTCACTGTGCTGAGGAACTCTTTA